TTTAACGTTGTTATAAGTTCGATTGCATCGGTAATTCCAGACATTTGGAAAAGTCTGTTATTAGAGACTATGTCTCTCAATGATATGCCCAGCATTGCTCTCTCCATTGCTCTCTGTGCAACGCGAATTTTATTTATGGTTTTCTTTGTTAGTGTTAAAGTGTCTGCTCCGTACGTTAGCACAGGAAGCACACACTGGTTAAAAACCTTTCTCTTTAAACAAGTTAGAATGTCCGACTTTAAAATGTTGGTTGGCTTTCCAAAAGATGCCCAACTTAAGCCGATTCTTCGTGCCATCTCTTCCTCCTCATCAGATCCTCCTTCAGCATGTACTTCAGTAAATTTGTAAATCGTTTTGGTGACATGCGGTCACCCTGGCGAACTCCTCGTTCGATTTTGAACTTGCCTGTATCTTCATGCAGCCTAACATATGATGTTGCGGTTTCATAGATATTTTTATTTATAGCAGTGTATCGGTCGAATAGACAATGTCTATTCGGCAATCAGAAAGGGCTTGGAGCATTTTATGTTGGTCAGTAGTATCAAATGCTTTTTCGTAGTCAACAAAGATGGAGATGAGCGGTTTATTGTACTCTATGCAGTTCTCAATTAAGGTTTTCATCACCTGTAAGTGGTCATTCGGTCCGTATCCACGGCGGAAACCAGCTTGTTCTCGTGGTTGGCAGTTGTTGAGCTTGTTTGTAAGTCTTTTTGTTATTATTTTCGTGAATAGCTTATAAATGGACCGATCATTTTTTGGATCTGTAATGTCGCCCTTTTTGTAGTGCATTGTGCCACTGAGAAGGTGTTGTGCCTTCAAGAAGGCATACWTTAATCTTCTTTGATCGCCTCGATAACTATATTGTCATCTCCCGGAGATATGTAATTTTTCATCTCCAAAAGCGATTGGATATTTTGTCGATAGAAATTTCCGGGATATCCTCCGATCCAACATTCTGAATCTTAGGTACTTGCCCTGTATTTGCTAGTTCCGCCGTTTTTCTATAAAGYTCTGTGTAGAATGCTTCAGTAATTTTAAGARCTTCCGCTSTACCTGTCTGGACACTGCCGCTTCTATCAGCGACCCTACTTCTTTTGTACCTGACCCTACTTCTGTTCTTCCTGCCTTCCGTTAGGTTGCTCCGCAGCACTCTTAAGCTCCTATTTTCTTCAATTACCTGAGCAATGCATTTTTTTTATTGTAGTTTTGGACGTCTTGTCTGGCAGACTTCGAAATACCCTTGTTTAGTTACTGTCTAAATGCATCACAATTTCCCTCGTATCAATTCCCCACTTCTCTTCTCACCTTCATAAGATTCTTCGTGCTCTGGCTCAGTTTATCCTCTTTGTTTCTCGCTCTTACGTAATGGTTTCTCTCAGTTTCCTTTATAATATTATTAATTTTCAGACTTAGATCGTCGACATCTATTTCGTCGTTTCTCAGGTGTTCTAGGCGTCTGAGCCTTGTTGGTATTTTCTCTTGATATGCCGCCTTATTCTCTATCGATATCCATTTTTTGCCATCTTTGACACCATCTTTGCTCTTTCGTTCCGAACGTTTATTTTAACTTTTGCTCTAACCAGCATATGGTCGCTACCTGCCGCAAATTTGTTTAATACAGTGACGTCCTGAACGGTATGTTTTTCATCAGTGACAATAAAATCAATTTCGTTCCTCGTCGTACCATTTGGGCTTGACCAGGTTCATTTACGAAGTGAGCCTTTTTTAAACGACCTGGCGTGCAGTCTCTGTTGAAGGAGAAAGCTGAGAAACATATGCCCCCTACGATTTCTCTCTCCGAAATCAAATGTTTTCAGGGCAGTTTCTGCTTCATCAATCTTGGAGCCAAGCTTTGAGTTGAAGTCTCCCATGTGGATCATATACTGGGTTTTGTCTTGCTGCATAGCCCTAGATATCTTTGTATAGCATTTCCAACTCTTTGTCCTCGTGGTCGGTTGTGGTTGCATATACTTGTATGAGTTTTAGACTAGCTATTTGGTTATTAGAAGAAAATTAAATGAATCGTAAATTTGAAGGACAGCTCTGTATTGTTTGTCTGCCAAACCAAAAATTTCCGTAAATTTAGAGCAATCTGTGTAATGATTTTCTGTTAACATAAATAATTGAGAATTGATGCCTTTAGTATGCACGCCGAAAACATGCAACAACATATGAACATTTCGCGATTGGAAACAAATCGACTCAATTTTTAGCTGAAAACGCACTTTTCCGATTGTTGTTTCCGATATATGTTTAATACATCTAATGCCTATTAATTTAAAGCTGGTTCTACTATTTTATAATATTCCTTAGTCGAACCTGTAAATCCCTCCGAATTGCCAAAAATGTTGGACGGATTAAGAAAGGTAAATAAGTCCTATCCCTTATTAACCACGAGAGTTGAAGAATCTGGGGAACATGTCGTGTTGGGTACTGGTGAACTTTATTTGGACTGCGTTATGCACGACTTAAGAAAAATGTATTCCGAAATCGACATAAAAGGTAAGGCCAGCAAGAAACCATCCTAAAGGAATTATGATATCAACTTAAAAGTTAATCTTTATAGTGGCTGATCCAGTAGTAGCATTCTGCGAAACAGTTGTTGAAACGTCCAGTTTAAAGTGTTTTGCGGAAACACCAAATAAGAAAAATAAATTAACCATGATTGCGGAACCTCTAGAAAAGGGTCTGGCAGAGGACATTGAAAATGAGAGTGTCCAAATTGGCTGGAATAAAAAGAAGTTGGGAGAATTCTTCCAGACCAAATATGATTGGGATTTACTTGCTGCTCGAAGTATATGGGCGTTCGGACCAGACAACACCGGTAAGTATTAGTTATTTATACGTATAATGCCTAAATAAAATTGCGAGTCAAATGAATTTGTCTTGGAACCAAATATATTTGTTTACAGGTCCCAACATTCTGGTAGATGACACGCTTCCTTCCGAAGTAGATAAAGGCCTGCTGAGTTCAGTTAAGGATTCAATTGTTCAGGGTTTCCAATGGGGAACTCGAGAAGGGCCGTTGTGTGAAGAACCGATCAGAAACAGCAAATTTAAAATTCTCGATGCTGTCATAGCACAAGAGCCCCTTCATAGAGGTTGGTATTGCCATTCTTTCTGTTAGGCAAGTGTTACATTGAGCTGATTGGATTTCCAGGCGGTGGACAAATCATTCCTACAGCTAGAAGAGTGGTGTATTCAGCCTTCTTGATGGCCACGCCCCGCTTAATGGAACCGTACTTATTTGTTGAAGTACAGGCACCAGCTGATTGTGTATCGGCTGTATATACAGTCTTAGCAAAGAGGCGGTAAGTGTGTTACCGCTTAATAGCAGTTTTAAGAATAAGCTGAACAATGAAATATAATTTCCGTTCACTCCAAGTACATAAGCCTTAATCATTTTTAAAGCGAACCCGCATACAGTTGTTGACGAAAATAAATTCTTTCACAGTGGTCATGTGACTCAAGATGCTCCAGTGCCCGGATCCCCATTGTATACCATCAAAGCATTTATTCCGGCTATTGATAGTTTCGGATTTGAAACTGACTTGAGAACTCACACACAAGGACAGGCCTTTTGCCTCTCCGTGTTTCATCATTGGCAGGTAAGGATGTTCCGAATATTGTTGATTTTTGCCAGCTTTTCTTATGTTCGCAATGAAGCGGTTTATTTTTACGATACCTATCGAAATAATTTTTACTAATTATGGGAACAGTAATCTGAAGTTTTTATAAAGTTAAATATACAGTATATTGCACTGTTAACAAAACAGCTATCTCAATATCTGTATCGAATTTGCGCCATTCTGTATCTGAACTACCTTGACTCGCGGTTGATCGCAAATTACTCCTTTAATGTACTTTGTATATAAACGGTTTCGGTCGTGCGTTCCAGCTAGAGACCAGTTAAATCGCAGTCGAAACTACTTGTTTTGGGAAAATGGCTCGTTTTTTAGCACATGAGGAGGATCGATTTATGATTAAGAAAATGAAAGTTGTACAATTTTTACCGTCAAAGAAAATGGATGGAGAAAAATATGTGTATATGTGAAAAATAAATGGACATAACTCGAAAACTAGTCGTCTTCTAAACTGCGAAAAATTATGCTTATTTAAACCAATGAAATATTTATTTTAAACCAAAAGTTACTTTTACAAATTTTCATGTAAATTATATCATTTACCCGCTAGAAAAAAAAATTAATACTGAAAAATCGGGGTTTCGCCATTTTACGGTTACTTTGATGTTATGTGAAAAGTGTTAAATACAACAGTTTTATATTTTTTCATTATCTACAATCATTATCTACTACTTTTCTATTGAACGTTTTCTAGTAGTTCACGTTTCGCCGGAAATTCATAAAAACCGTTTTCAACCCCAAAACTGCATCCCCATTTCACGATTTCAAGTGCTTATGTTTTGAAAAGTATTTTTCCTTTAAGTTGAAACCTCAGCAATATTTTCCACCTAGTAATTGTTGTGTTATTTATTTTCGAATTTTTTGAGTCTCAAATTCGTTTTGGCACCAGCCTATTGCTCTCACTTAAAATGTAAAAATTTAGTCAATTTGTGTTTTGCTGTTCTAGATTGTTCCGGGTGATCCTTTGGACAAATCAATTATTATTCGTCCTCTAGAACCTCAACCAGCCACCCACTTGGCGCGAGAATTCATGATTAAGACTAGACGGCGAAAAGGTTTGAGTCAAGACGTCTCTATTAATAAGTTCTTTGATGATCCTATGTTGCTCGAATTAGCACGACAGGATGTGATGTTAAACTATCCACTCCTTTAAACGGTTTTGCAGTTTTAAATATAAGTAATTGAAAACAGTAATTTGAGTGATTTAAGTTTCAAAATCAAAGTAATTAAAAAAAATATGAATGGAAAAATTCCATCAAATAACACAAAAAGCATATTGTTTTACTTTCTATTATAAATATTTTTGTCCATTTCGCATTTTAAGATGAGAACGTACTATTTTAAATAAAAAAAAACTGAAAACGAAATATTTTTATTAACAACATTAGCGGATATCATATCGGCATATAATTTCTTCATGTTTGTCTAACTGTTTACAGAAATATCTGGCAACTTATTATAGTTCCTATACAATTAAACAACGGATAATTCTCATTTTGTGAACAAAACAGTAAACTAATAACCATTCAACCGGTAGTGAACAGAAATACATTTCGAGATTAACTAATACCGTTAACTTGTCTACAAACTAATGCAATGAGGATGACTAATTTAAGACAACCTAGCCAGTTTCTTGATATTATTGACTAGGTGAGCGTTATATTCCGAATGATTTATTGGGTCTGCTCTGAACGCTACGGTCTTAACACGCTGTTCATCCTAGATCCAATATTACTAATTAATTGGTGGACATAAACTCATGGTGAGTACTTACATTGTAAGTTTCCGTTTTCACTCTGCATCGTAAAATGCATTCCTTAAACATGCATTTTTCTAACGTGTCATTTAATCCGTCGGGATCAGTTTCTGCCTGTTGCCCAACTTCAAGTGCGGTTAGCCCCAAGATTTTCTCAGCTTCATCGTTGAATACTGTCATCCACTGGTTGGAGCTCCAATCGCAAACATTCATCTAAACATCACGTTTAAAATTTTTTTTACAATTTTACTAATATATATAAAAACACCAGACCTCATCAATGCACACTTACATTGCATAAGATTCTAAACTTAAAACTGTTGAAACTTTTGTTGCAACTTTGGCACGTATAAGTGCCGTTGCTGTTATCAATAACTTTCTTCTGACAATCTGGGCCGGGACAAGATTTGTATACCAATCGTTCACCCTTGATGAGAAGAATGGTACCTTTAACCTGATAGCTATCTGCTTTATCGGAATTCCGACCCAACTGTTGGCCTGAAACCTAATAAAGAAACTAAGTCAAACCTTGGCGACTAATTAAATTAATCAATATTTAATACTATTTTCTTCTGTTAAATTTTGTAAATCAGATTATGCATACAGGGTGATTCAAACTTGGAGCAATTTTTCTGGAGGTCTGGGCTGAGTAGAAAAGATATTTTGAAGAATTCTTCTTCGGGAATCGCAAGAAAAACTTTATCGGAAATTTGCAAACAGTGTATTGGATCGGACTATTGAGTACGCAAATACTGTAAATAGGAATAAATAACACAGCCACATAAACAAACATTTTTTTTATTTACCGAGACACTTAATCCTGCAGTATTTTGACCTGCTGAATCCAAATCCGCGGTCAGTCCGCAGGTTTGACTCTATCAGGTCAAGATCATCAGGTCATCAGTGTAGTTTTTAGGTTAAATTGAGAAAGGACCATTTCGGCGGAGAAAATCTATACATCTGTACGTTTTGTTCAAAACAGACGAAATTGACTGATTCGATTCAATACAGCTCTTTCGGTTATCGACTATGAACGCTCGATGAGTCCGAGATTCAAACTCAAACTCAAAATATACTTTATTGCCACGGAAAAATTCACAAATTTTATGGACAAAGCGAGTAAAAAAAACAAAACAAAATACTACAACATAAACTACGTACAGTACAGTCAACAATGGTAAAAAATWAAAAAATATAATAAAACAGTACAAAATATATCACGTACAATCGTCATGGACAAACACAGAGGTCATCAGAGTAAGTCAACCACCTATCGCTACAAACGGTGCAGAATAACCACACAATTTAAAAGTGGAAAAATTGTATAAAGAATAACTTTTTTCGATAGGAAGCTTCGTTTTTGAGATAAAAAATGTAAATTTTAGAAAAAAATCGCAAGAGTCCTTTACCMAYCAACATTTTTAGCGAAAAATTGTTTTATTTTTTTCCGAATTATTCCTTGACAGGTAGTTCGATATAGAAAAGTTACACGACAAATCAACTTTGGTCGGTTCACCAAAAAAAATCCTAGGTGAGCTACAGGRGAAAGACGAAAAAGTTTGAACAGACTATGATATACAGGGCGCTCGGATAATGCGTTAGGACATATTTAAAAGTGATTCTACACGTTAAAATAACATCAAACTTGATTTTTTTCTTTTTGTTTTTGACTTATTCTGGACATTTCTGGAAAAATTATTTCTCCACTTTACCACTGGATGACACTTTACCTGAGTATATATATAAATATCGCACAGGGAAATATTCGATTTTAAAAATTACAAAATACTAGATAAAAAATGTGCTCTTAACACGACTCTAAAAACCTCTTCGTTTAGGAGCAAATCGACATCAAAGTTAACAAGGTTTTGCTCTCATAATGGTCTCAAGTTTTTTGGTAAAAAAAGTTGATAAAACGGTAGACAGAAGTAGCTTGAAACACAGTTCCTTCAAAACATTTCCATGGCTTTGTATGCTTGCTGGTGCTTGTTTTAATCAAACTCTACACGTTTTTAATCTTTACTTATGAATACCGTCTGCAGTATTCATAAGAGTTCAGCAGACATCTGTTGATGTTTGAAAACTTTAATTTTCTCAGGACAATCGACTTTCTTGTACTCATACACACAACAATGTGTATATGTAGAAGATTGACCGATTTTGTATACCATTATTTTACTTTGAAAGACCACAATTAAAATACTATTCGGAAGTACGTTGTAACGCTGGTGTGTATATGCGGTTGTAAATTTTCATTAAAAAAAATATGGAGTCACCAGGAAACTGCTGAGTTTGTCAAAGGATCATTAAACTACTTCAAAATATTGCTTGGTTGCAGTGGAAACTGTTTTTTTACAAACTAATATCCCCAAGAAATAAACTGAAATAAAAATAACCCATAGTCTCCAAGTAAGCTTCCTTAACCCCTTAAAATAAATTGAGCTAATTTTTATCCACCCTGTAGTTGAAAACCGGGTTATACGTATTTAAAATATTGATCAAAATGACTTCACCTCTTTAAAACACATCCAAGGTGGATTAAATGCAGAATTTCCTCCACCAGTCTGCACACTAATATTATAAGCGTTGGTGATACGCGCTCCTTCTGATTCATACCTAAGAATCATGGAAATAAGCATGAGACCGAACAGGTAGTAATATTAAAATGGGTAGTAGATCAAATAATTACCAAGCTTTAAGAAGAAAGGCTTCCTTAGTTTCAGGATTAATCCTCATCTGGGTAGATGATATTGTGGACAAAGATTTGCCGCCCAGAAATTCGTGAATCTTTGCATTTTTCAAACTAATTACCGGATTTCCATTACCGTTGAAATTTTCTGCTTGGCCACCCCAAAGGGTAAGAGTTACCTAAAAATATTAAAATATAGCGTAAGAGTAAAGCGATTTATAGCACGCAGTAAAACTACAAGTGTCAGTCTGTACTTTTTTAAGATACATACAACTGTTTTCGATTGGTCCACTAGTTGTACATCTCGTTTTTTAATCTCTCGCCCCGACGATTTTGCAGTAAATATTTGAAGATCGCTAGTTGATTTTGCCACGCCAATAACATCTGTTAAAAATATATATTTATTATTATAACTGTAAAGTTCAATTAGATCCTAAACGTACCAATAAGTTCGTTAGCATGCAAGTCGGCAATTCTACGAATCTCAACGAAATTGAAATTAGTTGGGATTTGCGGCAAATCACACATAAAACACTCCTCGATAACGGTGTCCGGTGTAAGATAAATTTCATAATCATTTTTAACAGTATTGAATTGTTTTGATGCAATTTTGATTTGACATTTGGAGATGTAATAAATTTTGTCCACCTGAAAACCAAAATGTTCAGTTCGGTTAGAGTCTAAATGAACTAGAAACTGGTATTTACCTGCACCACGTCATAGAATTGGTCAACCAGCTCTTTAAATGCTGTACACTTTATTTCAGAGCTTTCGTCGGCTATTTCAAAACTAAATAACTGACCCACTCCTTTACTGTTTTCCCACTTTCTAATATCGCTTTTGTTTATTACTTTAGCTCTAATAATCCACCTGAAAGAATATTAATAAAGTTGATGGTACATTGAGATTATTGGAATAATTAAACACTAGGCAACATGTTTTAGCTAAAAAATCTGGAAAATAAATGAACTGTTTAAAATCCTACTTGTTGTGAAAGGGACTCAAACTCGATATTGCATAAACAGCTCGGCTGGAAGATGTTCCACAATTAGCATTAAATGGGACCGATAGCCTCGGTTTTTTGCTTGGAGATCCGGCGGCTTGAATAGCATTAGCCGACGATTGATGATAATTAGTTGAGGGACCCACATTCAACTGACTATATGAAACTGGATTTCCAATTTTTTCGCCCAGTTCGTTCCCATCTTTTAAAACTGTTAGGTCGAGAATAAGCAAGACCCGGCTAAAAATAGCAATGATACAGGCAAGTCCCTCAAGGTATCACTGAGCATTTTTCGGTTCTAAATTAGTCATTTTGTCAACTGGTGACAATTCTTACCTATCTTTGCCTTCAGTATTGTTAATAACACTGGTAATAAAGCGAACAATTTTGATGATAGAAAATTTTGCCAAACCATTTTCCCCTGCCCTGGCATAAACTGGCGCCGTCATCATAGCAAACGACACTGTGCACTGTCCATCAGAGAGAAGAGCTCGGAACTTATCTTTGTCCGGTTGTCCAGTTCCAGAATTCATTCTCTTAATACTGAGTACTTGAACTATGGGTTCTATGTAGTCTCCCCCTTGCATGATTGTCTAAGATAATATAGAGTCTGATGATTAGCGATAATTAATTTGATATCCCATAAGTACAGGGTGGCTATTTGTATGGGTAGCTTCTACATTTTTAGATTAATTAAAGGGGCTAAAACCTCGATCATCAGCTCGCTGTGTGAAAATTGCTTGATGAGCTAATGTAAACGTATTTTAGGCGCTGTTCTACGGGCTATGATTAAATCCTGGTATATCAGCCCCTTGATTCAATTACTTTGCGCTCTGCCACAAATATTTCAGTTTCTATTGAACATTTCTTTCAAATCCATCCTTCGGATTGCTAGTTCTAACACGTCTGTCAACGGCACAATAATTCAATGTTAGTTTTATTTTCATTATTGATTGCTTTGACTTTTTGTGGTTGATTTGAAGATGCATCGCCGGATCTAAAAATCCTATTTCAGGCAGATCTGTGACATTTCTGCTAATATTAACTTATCGTACTTCTCTGTAGCATGTTACAGATGTGCTTGTATTGCCAGTAGTATTTTTTTTAAGCGACGGAATAAAAATTACATGTCATCAAGTCTTCAAAGTAATTGACCCGTGATTTAAGCATGAATTTGATTCGTTTAACAACCTAAATATCATTTTCGTCATCAAACGATGACCAAATGTTGACCATAAAACAGAACCACCCTGTACCTATATTTGCAAATTAATCAGTGATTATCGTTAATAACTAGGCAATTTTAGGCGGTTAAGTTCACCACTGAAAAATATACATAATCTTTATTAAAAGGTGGAACAAAAGTCGTTGGTTTGAAAAATTTCATCGATGATTAAGGCCCAATTTAGGACCGTAACCATTTGTTAAAGGCTAGGAATTAGGGATTTAATCCATGTTTTAATTGTAGATGATGGAACCGGGCCAAAGATTTAGTTTTGCTGGCCTTAAAGTTTTGTTTGTACAGTATTGATCAAACATCAAGTGCTAGATACAGTACAAATAAATAATAATAGTACTACTTTCAGAAAACTTGCTCATCTCTAAAGAAACTCGGTTTTTACTGGGAGCTCGCGATAAAGTTTTCGGTAAAGTTACCGGAAATAATTCAGTCTGCAAGTAAAAAATTATACACGGTGCTTGGAAATTAGCGCCATATTTTTAAGGACTTACTTTGCTTAATTGAGAGCACGCATAACTGTTAGTTTAGTTTATAAAGATGCACTCTCGACTTTACTAAAGCGACATTTTATCAAACTATTGGAACAGCTAAACGTTACAAATGAAACCTGTCCAAACTTTCTTACACTCGAGAAAAAATCTATTTATTTTTCGCAGACTCTAATTAGGTCCAATCTTCTATATGAGAAATGCGCGAAATCTAGGGCGTGTTTGTTACAAAAAAAGTTTTTTGGTGAGAAATTGATACTGAAGTCGAGGAAAGTGAAAGTGGTCGCAACTGAACTGCTGACTTATTCCGTCGCACTGAAGGCAGATCACACTTAAAACCCTGTTGAGTTTGATAGAAACAAGCACAAAGTCAACTCAAATGTTGGGCGCTGATTCTACATAAAGTTACAGTTTGACAGAAAAAGACGGAAACTTTTTTGTGAGCAATTAAAATTAATATSGAGCAGTGGAGTTCAGCAGTTCTCTGATGAATTATACGTTCTTTAGATAAAACTAATGAGACTTCGCCTTTATTTGGAGGAATTTATATCATTGCATCGAGAACTCTTCGCCAGAGCCGTCTTTAAGCATGGGCCGCGAAGCAAAGAGCTTCATGCCCTCATAAAAAAATATGATCTATCAACGAATAAAAAAATTGAGGTATAAACATAGATTTATTACATTTAATTTCCTAAAAATACTGTTAAAAATGTATATACTCAGAAGTTAAATAGTCTTCAAATACGTCTTTATCATACGAATATGCCAAACGTTTTCAATAGTCTTCAATTTATGCAACATCCATGTCCTGCAGAACAGTAAAAAATAAAATTATAGTTAATTTATCTTTTCTTTAACTTTGCCCACATAGTATCTATTATTGGATAAAAAATTTCAATTTTTAATTTATCTTCAAAATTGAATTCCATTTCTTTTGAAGATCCTTCAAATCTAGTCATTTTTACACTTCCAGTTTTAACCGTTTGCTCAGATTTTTCATAATTTGGTATGATACTGTTTGCTTTTTCAAGGAATCGTGCAAATTTAATTAATTAATTCTTAAATTTGACAAATAGGGTCAATCAAGCAATAGGAACAAGGGTCAATCAAGCAAAATCCTTCTTTTTGCAACTTTTTACTTGTGTCATTAATGCGGATTAAAATATCGTTCCAAACTACAGTTAAAAATATATTATCGACTTTTATCGTTTTTTTATAAAGACTTGCAGCTTCATACTTCGCATCATTGGATTGAAAAAGATCTTTCGATATTTTATCAAGCACGGTCAGACTTGGACTATAGCTCTCATACAAAGTATTAATTGTATCTGCTCTTGCCGACCATCTAGTTGTCGATAACGCTTTTAAAACTTTGAATCCTTACTTTAATGCTAATATAAAAGTATATAGATTTTGTACAAATGCGAAATACGCAACTACTGGCATGACGCACTCGGCTGCTTTTACCGCAACTAAATTGCGTGAATTCCTGGAAAATAATCCCCTTACAAGGGCCCCATTTACAATGTGGTCCGGAGCCCCAAAGACTTTAAAGACGACCCTGTTCTTCTCAACTTAATAGAATTGCTAATGTTGCAAAAAAAATTGCTAATTGCAAACTGGTGGTTGCCTTTTAATTGCACGTGTTACCTTTTAATTTACTAATAATGCAACAGGTATTTATGTAATATTACTGTTAAAAAAGAAGTTATAGGTGCGATCAAATAAACTGTTGCCATTTTTCTTCTTTAGTTTTTACGACTGCCTTTGTTTTATGTGAGAATTGTTTTTCAAACTTTTTCTGTATTATCTATATTGACCCAGGCAACTACAGCTTTTTAATTAATTTAATGAAAAATATTCAGACTAAATAATAGATCGATACTTTCTACATAAAATACGTTACAAAATACCCTTAATTTCTTCTCATCTGAATCAGAGCTAAATAAGTTCATCTTTTTTTAATCACTGATAAGGCCAGGGTGTTTGTAGTTGGGAAAATTAGTTGCAGATGACTTCTCAGGGCCTTCAGCCGCCGCTGAGCGCTGAATACTATGTGCATAAACAGTATTTTTGTAACTTTTTGCACAAGGAAGTTTTATATAATGTCGCGCAACTAACTTTTAATTTGCTGATTTAACTCTATAACATTAGATGCACAAAAGCGATTGAAAAATGTTTTGTTAACATTGGGATAGTCAAGTGTTTCTGGCCGAATCTAGATATCTTGTATAACATTATGACTGAAAGTCAAGTATAGTAAAATAATTTATACTAGTCTTACCGCAAGTGCTCCTTTAGATAGTTCAATGGACATTTTGCTCGAATTTTCGCAAAACTATGGGCTTTGATTCAAAATTGATAGTTTTTGACAGAACGCTTCATTTCCGAAATGACATCTTATTTAGTACGTAGAAGCGAAATATAGCTGTCAAGCTTCAGAATACAAACCATATAATAAGAAAAGAGATGTCCTTCTCTCTCTATGACATTAATAACTTTACAGTTTTTATTCAAATATCAGATTGAAACAATAGACATATCACATGGAATAACAGAAAAAAATACTAGAAACAAAATTGAGCTCCCATATTTCCATTATTTTCCACAAACTGATAATACTGATTTTAAATATGTATTTAAGGGTAAATGTTACTATTTTTCTCTCTCAAAGTATCCTAAGGCAGCAGTACGCAAGCGTCAGTTTAGTCGTTAGATAATAATTTGCATAGGTAAAAAATTTGTATTGAATAGCTTTTAGTTTTACGGAAACGCTGATTTAATGTACAGCTCAGCGTTCGGAATGGTTTCCAATACGAGTTGGACCAAATCTAATACAACTTAATAGTTTGCTGGTGGTTTGTCGGTTGGAAAAAGTTATTTGCCGGTATTGATTGTGAGTGAGTGTTGACTGACCGCTTGAGTCACTGATTAAGGAATTTTGCTGACCATACCAATGGTGAGTCTATACAAAATTTAGCTTTTTAAATGTATATTGTAGTTTTGTGGCTTGTGTGACATAAAGAAGTTTCATCGATGCCTCTATTTGACAATTTTACGTCCATATATTTAAATATTACGTGTCTGGTAGCGTCCCCAAAACTTAAAACATTTTTCCATGTTAAACTCAAAGACAGTAATTCTTCTGAGATTTTACCTCAAATAGTAAGACAGTCTTTCAGACGCTTTATGAAGAAGGTTTAAATGATAGTTGAAACTTTATAAATGACACTGTTTAAGAATGGAATTTCCTAACGTGGAAAAAATAGCCCTCTGAAAACCATATTAAAATGATTCTCATGATGCATCAGATCACCGTTTTAAAGATATATGCTATTTTATCTTTCAATTTTTGCTTCTATTTCTTTAGCGAATTTCTAGTGATCTCCCTGAGGATAGATTCTAACTGACGAAAAACGTCGTATCGAAATGATTTATCCGCTATTTTCACCGTATCGGAAATAATTCTATCTTCATACTTTCAGAAGTGTGAAGGCGAAGCTTTTTAATGATCTTCGAATGGAACACACATTTTAAAATTTCAGGGCAACATTATACATCCACGGGCAGATAATTATCTCTAATTTTTAGGTGATTTGCTATTAGTCTATTTTCAATCTCACGTTGCGTTACAAAGATCTGGTTATTCTGGCGGATGGTGTCAACATAAAATATCTACCTAGATAATCTAGCTGCTATAAAAAATATTTTGCAAAAGCTATTTATACGTAATGTGAAAATTCTTCGCCCTCTCCCTGAAATCCGCAGAAATAATCTAATGGTGGTTTCTTAATATGGCATTGCATATATTTTGTATTTTAAATATGCGCATCGATTGTTAAAAACGATTTTGAAATAAGAATTTCATTATACATATAACATTGCCCATTTTGATTTCTCTCGAATTTTAACGGTATTAAATCAATTATTTTTCTGTCAAGAGAATGCTATACATATTCCTTTTTTTTCAAAATTATAATGCAATATACCAATTTCTTTATGCGTCCCGTTACGCGAAAAAATATTCATTTTTCCAGCGCGTATAATATAACACAAAATAATACATTACACTTGCTTGGACCATTGCATTATTTTTTAAGGGAAAGCGCATAATTTTGAAACAAATAATACAGGCAATTAACTTAAAATTTTATATTGTTCAGCTTCAAATGCCACTCAAATTTATAACGCTCATATACATATTAATGTTTGGTATCACAAAACAATATATGTAATATAACACCATTCATACCAATAACTTTGAAAGAAAGCAGATATGTATCTTTCAAATAAAAACACCAAATTATACCAAATAAATTTATTTATTAAAAATCAAAAAATTTAAATGGAAAAGTACTTAACGTGTTACAAAAAACTGGTAATGCTTAAACTTTGAACAAATATGGACACTTAAGACGACCACAGGTGTTCGGATTGGTAAAAGACAAATCCTTAGTATGCCTATTTCAATTTGTTAAGGGTAACTGTAAAAACTAAAGTCGAATTTGGAGGTATGGCCGGAGGAGATCCTTTACTTCCATACCTGGAACAGCCATTGGTTGAGTAATCAAAACAACATACTAAAGTGGGAAATACTCACGCAACTTGAGGGGGACAAATAATTTTCCTCTTTCCACCGGCCTTCATGCCAACTATACCAATATCCCAACCTTTAATAACTTCGCCAGTTCCGAGTCGAAACTTAAAACCGGGCCCTTTTTCCGTTTTGTCAAAAATCTTGTTGTTCTTCTGGAGCTTTCCTTCATAGTAAACCTAATAATAGTTTCGAGTTAGAGACCCGATAAGTTTCCCTGCTCTTACTTACAGTAATAAATTTTCCATTTTTGGCTGGAGGGCCGCTGCCTTCCACCAAATCCTCCACAATCACGCCGCCTTTCAAAGTTTGTTTAGTCTTTTGAGGTGATTGGTTTGATTCTTGCTGTTCCTTATTTTTTTCCTGCAAACATTATGATTGCATTTGAAGTTATCCTCCCTTCCCTATTATTTAGAAAATGTACCTTTTTGAGTTTTCGCTGCTGTTTTTTACTAACTATTTCCTCCTCAATAATGGGTTCTTCCACTTCCTCTTCATCCTCTGCCTCTTCCGAGAGGTTTTCGTCTTCTCCACTGTCGTCTTCTTCACTTACATCCTAAACACAAAGTTTGATTGTATAATCGAAATATTTGCATATGTATCTGTCGCAATTTTCTATTAAAAATGCAAGTTTGTACTACTGCGACAAATAAAATGATGTGGAGAAACAATATATGAATGGGACCAAATTATCACTGATTTACCTCTTGTTCTTCTGTTCCAAGAAAGTCTTCATCAGATGAGTCTTCCTCTTCCTCAACATCTTCTGTAGAAGTACCATTTTCCAATTTTGCCTTCTTAGATGCTGCGCAAAATAGTCATTATTAGATTATTTGTAATGAACAGAGTGGCCTGCCGTACGCAAGACTTTATCTCATGAGATATCGAACTGGTATTTTAAATACAATTTTTGGTGGCGAATATAGTTTATAGTTTTAAGAGGGCCATATTTTAACATTATGTAATGGTTTATGCCTTTACTACCATCGTTTGCTACAAGTATGATTTGTAATTAAAAAAAATCTATACTGCCCATTTCATCTAGTTAGTTTAGTCAGTAATCTTGTCTTGAATAACACATTCTTTCTCCCTAATGTATTGATTCCTGAGCACTTACATCTAGAGATGGTTCCATTTTCTTTCAAGGCCCGTTTTTTTGATGCGGATCCTTGCTCTACAATATCTGGTTGCTCCTCTTCCTCATCTAAGTCTTCTAAAGTTAAACCTTCCTCATCATCATAGTCGGTTAAGTATCCAGTGAGGTGAATGTGAGATTTGCCATTAGCAGCGAAGGAAACTTGCGTTCCAGCCTGCAGAGTTAACCATCAGTTAAACTGTGTATATAAAATGCCAATTATTTGAACTTACAGCGAATTCGAGGTCTAGGGCACATTGAATCAGACCAGGCTTTTGTAAGGTGCATAATAAGTAGTTTTTACCATTGAATGTGCAGATAACCTGGGCATATCCATCACTGGAACTTTCCAAATCCAGAGTTGCCATGGATATGTGAAACGACTTATTAACCTCTTGTGTATAGCGCCTTTGAGGCTCCATTATCAAACCTAACAAGCACATTGTGATAAGGAAAAGTTCAAACTCTAGGAGATAATAATCTAACTAGAAGGGATAGTAGTCAAAAGCACGTTTTTTTTTAAATTAAACCTTGTACCGGTGAGTAAAGTTCTGTATTTAATAGAAGGCATACACGTCGAAGCTTGACTTTTTGTATGTGCAACGAAGGCATGCATTTTAAGTGCACCTGTTAGCAGGTTTTCTCATAGAAATGTACGGTTGAAAATGTTCAACCGTACATTTCTATGTATAATGATACATGACTTTATACTCCACTAAGGTGCCACATGTTTGTGCTATTGTTTCCAAAAAATCAAAGACGCACGTGCCTGTGCAAAATGTATGGAATAACAAAATGGAGCTATTATAACTTACCCCAAAACATTTTGATTATTGTCAGGAACTAATTTAAACTTAAAATAACAAAAAATAGAGTTCAGTTTGACCAAATTTGCAACTTTTAGCTTTTAGCAAAAATGAAAATGCCGTCCGGTTAGTTAGTCGCGACAGACCATAGAACTGCACAGAACTGCACAGAACCTCTGACAGAACATCGATTCTGACAAGGCGCCAAAACATATGTCATTCATTCCATGCGATGTTGCACATTCTTCTTAAATTCTCCAAATCAAATTTACGAACGAGGCCATCGTAAGACAGGCCGTAAACAGGGATTTGTGACGTCACACAAGTAGGCGGTCGATTCACATTTACCTAATGCTTATTCCATTCAGTGCTTTAATAGAACTGCTTGCAAAATTGTTGATTTTTAACAAAAAGTTATATAACGTTACACTAGATGAAGAATTCACCGTCCCGTAAAAATATATGCCTGCTTCAATATAGGTACATATGCGTAATATATGAATAATATGACAAATCGTTAGCACTTATTCCTTCTAATATACTATTTAAAGAGTACTCTTTATCACGAGATAGATAATGCCCAACAAATAGAATTAGAAACAGCTGAGGCACTTAATATAGATTTAATTATGTTACTAGAGTTTATAATTTTTACACGCAGTAAGTTCCATATAAAGTTGTGTTTTAGTCCTCTCAGATAAACCAGAAAAGAACAAAAAGTGTGAAGGCTTTCTACATGTTTGACAATACGTGTGAAGTTTTTGATAACATTTTCTCAATAGATTTTTTGAATATTATCTGCAATATCCTTATTGTTATTGATATTCGATTGTTTCAGTAAATTTAGTGAGACATTGATTTTCGCTTAATAGTATCAATGTTTTACAATATTCACAGTTATTAGTATACTTAAGCAATGAATAATGAGCACAATAGCCAGCCATATAAAATAAAGAGAACTCATCTGAAGTACTAGGTAAATCCGCTTCTTTTTCTACGGTTTCTATAAAAAACCATATATCTTTCAAAAAATCTTGGAAAGTTTCACAATTTTCAAAAGATATGTATTTTATAGAAAAGTACCAAATTTTATCTTACGTGAATTACAGGGGCGTGCGGTCCATGGAAGCAAGGTAAGAAGCATTGCTTCCCCAAGAATCCCCTAGAAGTCGACCAACCGGATGGTTTGAAAAATAGTATTATTTTTTATTTTATTTATTGTGTAATAAACCGCAACATTCTAACTAAAAGAGCCGAGCCTTTACAAGAAGCAAGAAGGAAGAAACATTGTATAGCATGACGCGCTCTTCAAACTCAAGACCATCAAGAAAATACATTATCATAAGGTTCTGTCTTTGTCATACCGGTCATAAGCATACAGCATAGAGTAAAATAATTATTTTACTTACCCGTAGAGGGGATATTCTGTGGGCATACAGCTTGCAACGAACCGTAGGCGCATAGCGCGTCGTGATATACAGGGTGGTTTTTTAGTGCGAGAAGGTCCATTATTTCCGTTGGTGTTGAACTTTCTCAGAGTATCTAAGAAAAGCGAGGCAAGATCAAAGTGTATTTTTTTAAATAAAACTACCCATTTTTCATTAGGTCATGGAATGCAGCTTGAAACGCTGCATACGCACCGTAAATTGTTTTTTCTTACTTGCGACGTTGGCAGATTATCGCCACTTTAGTAAAATTTTGCTTAAAAACATGGTATCTAAAAATTCATTGTAGAAGCAAAAAAAGCAGTTAAAGCGCAACAATAGCAAACAATACGCCTTTCCAATCAGCACAGATCGGTTAAGAATTCTATTGAACCAAAATATCAATACATTGTACAGGGTGTTAACAATGTGGACTTCAATCTAAAACTTTTTAACGCAATATAACTTTTGTTTTTCAAATGGAACTACCTATATATTAATACGTCATTAGATAGACAATTTACAAAGTTGAAAATTTGCATTTACACTTTAAGCTGAATCAACTGAAAGAAATCAACCGTTTTCAAATTATGATTTATTTTATTTAAAAATTTCAAAAAGTTGCTACATTTTGTAAGGTGACTATGGAAGTGAATAAATACCCGGATATATAAATTCATTATTTTTAATCAAAACATACCCCCCAATGAATCTTGTATTACAATGCGATTTCAATACCTGGAAATAAAAAAAAATTACTGGGTTAGGAAAATCTTAAGCTTGAGCCTCGTGTACAGCAATTTGTTCGAAATTATACTGGATGTCTTGAAAATACTGACCTTTCGGCTTGAGATAAAAACTGCTCCAATTACATTTATTCAAACAGAACACCCTGTACATTAATTCATATATGGGAAAACCATTAAATTAACAATAAATCGATATATGATGTTTCTATACCTAAAACATCAAATTTCCGAAATAAATGGACATTTTTGCAATAATTCGAATATTTTCACGTATTTGTCAAAATAGCCATGAAATGCCATGAATCATAGTTGAAGATTTTGCAATTCTTCAAACCATTGGTTCGGTTAGTGACATACAACAGCTTCTGTGCTCGAATATTCTTTATTTTTCATTGTTTATAAGGATTCTCTATTAGTTTTGGTTGATGTAAGTGTGGACATTTTATTTTTCTGTAGAAAATACCAGTTCAGTTTTTAAGAATCACGATAAATTTGCAGAATGTAGACAATTAATTGAGAAAATAAATCACTTTCTTCAGTTTCGTTATGAATTTGCCTCAATCTTACAGTAAGGACTTGGCGTTAACTGTGAGCGTTAAAGCGTGTTATTGTCGTGTGGTAAATAGTGGAGTAACTTATGAGGAAAAAATGTGGAACTCATACAAGATCTAAGCGATGGAGGTAAAAATATGAGCAAAATGAACGGTTATTCACGCTCACAATATTAGCCTTATTCGCGGAGCTTTATTAACGATTCAGAACTCGTTCAGAACTGATCTCATGCGCGTTGAAGCATTGCGTGTTCGCTGTAAAAAAATTATTAGTTCTGAACCGAAAGTTCCATGTTCGAGGCACAGTAAGAATTGGTTCAGAACCCGTTCGTTACCGGTTCTAGCAGTTCTATGATTAAAGGAACAAAATGTAGGGTTCGCATCGGCATCGGGAYTAGCTCCCGGCATCATCTTTTTTTTAATTTGTTAGGAGAGACAATGGGTGCACCAGCATTGCATTTCTTTTCCTAATTCAAATTTATGGCTTTATTTGTCTATTCAGCCTGAGAGTTAAAATGTTAAAGACTGCAGATGTCAGTTGAAAAAAATTGCGAACATACGTAGGCATACGGAAATACCAACGGAAGTTGAGCTCACAAAGAGCTAGATGGTCCGAAAAGGACCTCAAAAATGCTGTAGAGACTATAGATACAAAAACAATGGGGGCCAATGCCGCAGCCAGACACTTTAATATTCCCAAAGCTACTCTAATTAAAAGAAAGCCGTGTGGAAAACTAAAAAACTGGGTCATTGGGTTCTTCGTCTACTTTAGGAGAAGAAAATGAAGCGACGTTAGTAGCTTCATTCGAAAAAGCTGCAAAAATTTGGTTTTGCCTCAACACGCTGAACAGTTAACGTTGAAGCATCGTTTTAACGCAATCACGAAAATGGCAGGATACGACTGGATACATATTTTCCTAAACCATCATTCAGATCTAAGCATAAGAGTTGCTGAAGGTGTTTCATGAGTCATGTACAAACTTTAAAAATATGTGCAATAAATGTCCCCAAAAATCTTATTAATTAAATCTCATTTTGTTACTTATCCTTTGTTACGGTTCATCTCTCCTTGTGTGGTCCAACTGTCCCAAATTGGTGGTTCAACTATCCCGCAGATTTCGGGTTAGTTGGGATCACATAACGGTTTTTTATTTTATTTTTTGTCAGCAAATGTGGCCGAGTTTTTAGTCTTTAGTTACAGTTCTGATTGCAGTTAGTTAAAATGTTCGTGACAACATTTTTTTATGCCAATAAAGCTATTTTTTGTGAAGAGCGTCGAATCAAAAAAGGTGGTTCATCTCTCCCGGAATTACTCTACTTCTAGAATAATTCGCAAATTCAGAATTTTCGCTACATAAAATTTAATTTATGTACGGTAAGATAATTTATAATACATGTCTGTTTTGTAAATAATGCTAATAATACATAAAAGCTTGAAGTTTTAATATACCTACTTTTAGAAATCATGCAGTAACAGCGATGCAACAGATACCTACTCTTAGTGCTACGGTTTTGCGCTACAGGGTGTATGCTGCAGACGGTTGCTGATTTTGCTGGTAAACATAAAACAACTGCCTCTCAGATAGTGAAAAAAGTTATATATTATTTGTCGCTATTAGCGCGACAGTAGGTATATAAGCATACCAAAAAATTGTCTTGAAACGGAAACCACAAGAAAGCAGTTCTACGACATTGCAAAATTTCCCCGTGTAATAGGTACGATTGATTGTACTCACATAAAAAATATTTTTATTTTCTTATTTTTTATTTTCAATAACCCTTTTCCAAGACAAAGCTGCGTTCACAAGTCTTTGGCAGTCTGCGTCACTATAGGTATATTATTCCTTTTCCACTCATTTTCTATGTACATAAACTCGTGGAAACTCATGCAAACCAGAGGTAACGAACTATTTCAAACGTATACAGCTACCAAACTCTCAGAACTGACAAGAAAGCACTGATTTTGATTGGCTGATGCGGTTCACGCAATGTGGCCTACCTTAGATAATACAAGTTAAGTCCCAGTTGACGAACCCGATGCTCAATAGTTTTTATAATACACAAATAAAGTCAACCGCCGCTTGAAAGTGAACCGACGGTTTGTCAGCCGAAGGTTCAACCCGACCTTTATAATACCCGCCCTGTACAAACACGCAAGGTCTTACATATGTATCCCATTTCCCAATTATTGTATGTAAATGTATGGCTTTATGTTTCCATTTACTCTGAGGCGAAAAATTGTGAACATATGTAGACAATTCCAAGTTTATTTTTACGTTGGCGTTCTGATCAAAATTAATTATTTAAGAGTAGAAGTAGAAGTAAAGAAG